ATATTAAACTGAAATAATATTTAAAAATCAGTTAACTTTTTTATTTCTTCAGTGGCCCTAATCCTCTTCCATAGGTATGAATGAAGAGCGTTTATACATTTATAAGTGTCTTATGGTCTTATATCTGATTGACAGAATCAGCAACTTTTCCTTTGATTAGCTTTGATCTGCAGAGGGAAATACATTCTTTATTAATCATAGTTTGTTGTTTTAATCACATTTGGAGTTCCCCAAGGCTCCATCTCAGGTCACCTCCTATCTAGTATCTAAATTATCCCCTTAACTAAAATCTCAATATACAACATGTTACCATAACTATGCAGATGACACGTTACTGTGTCACCATGGTGACTGAACTCATTCCAGCTCTGAGAAATTCATAGAAGAAATCAACACATGGATGGGAGAAAACTTTATTCAAGTGAATCAAAACAAAAATGAAGTAATAATGTTTGGACCAAAGGAAGAGTCTTTAAAAGCAAACAGCTTTGCTTAATCCTGCTAGAAATCAGCAAACAGCCTCAAAATCTGGGTGTACTAATGGACTCAGACCAGACCGTTCAGAGTAGGTGTGAGTATTGTCATGAGTGTTGCTATACGAGACGTGTCACGATACCTAGGTCACGATATGACATTATCACTTTGTTGCAATATCACCATATATTTCGATATATTTCATGCTATCAAAATGGAATGTATAGATAAAAAAGTAACCTAGTATATGTTTATCAGATAATAATGATCATTCAGTTATTTTGGTATCCATAGTGTTTGGGGTTTGAATCAGTTCATGTCTTGCACTGTGACTGCCTCAACTACAGATATGGAGCTGGGTCACACAGCACCAGGGCTCCACAGCACGATCTGCAAGACTGGCGCTACAAAGGTAGCCTGTTTTCCCTCTGTTTTAGGTAAAAAATGTTTTGCTTAAAAAAATAAATTCTAGGAACTAAAAGATTGATATTATATCAGACAGACAAAAACCACAATATATTGCAGACTATTTTTTCCACACCCCTACTTTAGAGGCTCATAAAGAAAGGAATAAAGTCGGCCTTTTATCACCTAAAAAACATCTCCAGGATTAAAGTAGCATTGATCACTGATTACTCTTAATAGTTCTGCCTAAAAACCACACAGCTGCAGCTGTTTCCGAATGATTCACTTAGTCTTTTTAATGATCTGTGATACCTCTATACTGCAATGTACTTTTCTGTACTTCTTTTTTTTCTCATGTATAACACTCTGAATTGTCTTGCCACTAAAGTGTGATGTTTAAATAAGCTTGCCCTGTCTGCCCTTGAACCCCAGTCGGCCTCAGCAGATGCCCACTCACACTGACTCTGGTTCTGCTGAAGGTTTCTTCCTGTTAAAAGGGAGTTTTTCCTCTCCACTGTCGCTACAAGCATGCTCAGTGTGAGGGATTGCGTTCCAGTCAATGAGGCGATGCAATCAACTGGTTTTATTTAGATAGAAAATTATGAATTAATGTGCCAGTATGATCTGCTTGAACTGTCTCTGTAAAGTTTATTTACATGACATGTGTTGTGAATTGGAACCATATAAATAAACTGAATTAAATTTGTTTTTTTTCTTCCCACTTTATACATAAAAACTAAAACCCCCCGCTATTTTTAACTTATAAACACACATACAAAGGAATGTAATATGACACAGCTTTTTGAAATTGAGGGTTTAGGTGAGAAACTTGTGCCTTGGTGCTGGGGCAGATTTAGGAAATTTGGGGCCCTAGGCAAAGACAGTCAGGGGGCCCTCTGAACGGAGAAGACAACACATAAAACAGACCCATTATATAGATAGAGAAATTTTAATAGAATAGACATAAATTATTTGTTCTACAGTTTGTCCCTTTTCCTATTGTTTTTCTCTCTATGCTTTGTACTCTGCTGACTTTTCACGCTGTCTCAAAAGGAATGAAAGATTTTTCCAACCACTAAGCTTACTTAGCTGATTGCTTCTTCCTGTATTTCCAAAAAGGCGACGGCAAAAGTAAATAACCCGGTCATTGTTGCTGTCTGTTTGGACCTTTCTCAACGTGTGCAGCAAATGGACTGATCCAATGCAACCTATTCTCATTATGATTGCGCATGAAATCGTACGAAAAGTTATGCACCGTAATTTTGTAAGTTTTGGACGTTTTTTTCGTCGTATGCGCATGCCCATCTGACGCACCATTCACGAATATAGAATATAAATTACCATTAGCCCTAACCCTGACCCTAACCCTAAGATATAAAACAGCAAGCAACGTAGTTAGAGACATGAATAAGTGATGATTGCACTGTTTTTCCCAGTTTCACGTCCGTCCGCGGATCTGCTTTTTTTTTTCTGTCTGCCAGCGCATGCGCACTGATGTGGTTTTTTGAGGAAAAACGTCCAAAACGTACGAAATAGTGTGCATAACTTTTCGTACGATTTCATACTGATAATGAGAATATGTTGTCCAATGTGGTGGGCACTGAAGGGGGGTGGGGGGTGCCCTGCCTTTCCTTGAACCCCTGTCAGCCTCGATGGGGTTCAAGGACAGATGGCTGCTCAAACTGACTCTGGTTCTGCTGGGGGTTTCTTCTTGTTAGAAGGGAATTTTTCCTTTCCACTGTCGCTAAAAACATGCTTAGTGTGAGGGATTGCCACACTTGATATTATAAGTGTTCAGATGGCAATTTAGCGAAAGGATTTTTATCAAAAACATTTTTTATGTTTTTTTATGTTTGCAATTAATGTGCAAAACATGTAAACAGAGTTTTATGGGCCCCCCAGAAACATGGGGCCCTAGGCAACTTGCCTTGCATCGGTTCCTAATGAGGCTGGTTACTTTGTAATTCATTAACTTTCTGATGGACTCCAAACCAGTTTCTACTGTAATTGGTTTTGGTAAATCAGTCTCATGAATGAACTACTGTAGGGAGTCCTTTAATTTGTTTTGGCGAGAAAAATGTTGCAGTGCTTCAAAGTACGAATCCAACACGGAGTGAGTCAGCACCAACTTGTTTTCATAATGAAAACAAAAAAAAAACAAATAAAACAAAATGCAGATGTCGTTCCTTGTGCGATTGAGCATAGTTTCCATTCATGTAACGTCACAGAAACTATCCCATCACCTGACAGCAAAGCCCGCTGGTACCGTGGAGCGCTTATAAAAGCAGTGACCGGAACCGCTGCAGCACCTGCAGCTACAACCGCCCTCACTGGTCACAGTCCGCATCTGTCCCTCTGTCAGTGCTCATCATCTGCTTATGAAATATGCATTAGCTCTCCATAGCTGCTCCTCCACTCCGTGTTTTAGCAGCCACTGTCCGCCTGCTGTCAATGAACATCCAGCGCATCCTCTCTGGTTTCTACGTTTCTCACCGCTCCGCCTCTTTTCTCGCTGGGTTTTTTTCTGTCCTCTCTCTCTCCTCCACACTCCCCCTCCTCCTCTCTGTCATTGCATCCATTTTTGTGCATTTAAGAAATCTCCAAGAATTACCAAACTGGAGGAAAGCGAGCAAAACAGAGTGACAGAGGGGGGTTCGGGGCTCCAAAGGGAAAGCCAACAAGGACGCGCTGGACATCTCCTATTGCAACATGCGTGTGAAAGCCCTCTAAAGGATGGCAGCGATGGGTTAGACAGGATTTACCATGTCTGCTAAATAAAAGGCAAGAGTTATTCTTTTACACTCTGCATTTTGAACTCTTTCTCGGGTTATAACCTAAAACCTGGGATTATTTCTAATCTTAATCCAGTGTTTCCTTATAGAAATGTTAAGTAGTCTGCACCAGCTTGAATGTTACTATCTTACACTGTAGTTGTAGCTGCTGGTTAAAACCAGAAATAAACATTTTAATGCTTATATTATCATGAGCCTTAAAGGTGGATGATTAGTCAGACGTCATGCCGCGCGTACCCTCTCCAAACCCGACTACCAGATTAGAACATTTACCACACCAATAGGCATAATGTTGTTTATTTATCTATATTGTTGTTTTATTTTATTTTTTTAGCCACCGTTTTTAAAAGATGTCTGCTCCACACGGGCCCCGGGGCGGCCCTGGCCCTGCTGCCGCCGCTGCTGCTCCCTCAGCGGCCGGCGCCATGCCGGAGATGCCGGACCTCAGCCACCTAACCGAGGAGGAGAGGAAGATCATCCTCGGTGTCATGGAACGACAGAAGAAGGAGGAGGCTAAGGAGCAGACTATGTTAAAGTAAGAAGGGGCAGATATAAGGAGAGAATGCGGCTTTTTTTGGAGGGGGTGGGAGTAAAGCTACAGTAATCAGGTCTGCCCCTGTCCCTCAGCGGGAAAGTGGAGGGTCATGTTTTCCACTGACATCTAACTCACAGCCTTGAAAACTTTCCCTCACAATCTTTCAAATATAAACCTAAAAGGGTTTCATCTTTATGGTACGGTTTCGTTTTACAATGCGGCACTGACAGCAGTTTCCCCGCACTTTGTTGTGACTGTATAGCCTGTACTACAGTGGGCTGGGTGAGCAGCCATGGCCGCCATTTTCACGTAAAAAGCACGCCAACTTGCCTAACCTTTCCCCACTAACGTCACCGAGATTACACAATGTGACACTGGAGAGAACATTTGAGGTGTCCTCTGTGGTGCTGTGTGAGGTTTCCAACGTTAAAGTATCGGCAGATAGCCCGCTGACCCCCCTCTCTTCCTCCTCCCGCCTCTGTACAGATGTCGCTCGGAGCTGTTTCAGCACCGCGGAGCTGTCCGCTGTGAGCTTTTACTTTTTAAGGTGGAGCGGAGAGTTTCGGCCATCATCGCTTGTTTTGCTGGCAGTAAATCAATTTCATGGGAGGGGATAATTCACTCTTTTGTGTCAAGCTGGTTGTAGAACTATGTGTTTATCTAATTTTCCTTCAAAATGTAAGTAATCCAGACTGGAATGGGGAGATCTGAAGGAGGGAGGCCTTAAATGTGTCCATCCTGTTGATTTTCTTGCATTTGTGCTTGTCTGATGACAGAATGCACACGCTTATGTGCTAGCAGCCCTAAAGCCAATGCATGCAGTTGTACTGTTTTTGAAAGCAGATGCAGGATTTCTAGCTTTACCATTTGGAGTGTGGTGGACAAATGTAAGCCAAAGAGGCAGAATTGTTGCAGTGATTTGTCAGAGGCTAAGCTAATTTATCAAATGCAGATGGTTAAATTGTCACCCAGAGTGTAATTTTATGTAAGTTATAACATGAAGTGTACATATGAAGGTTTAGGAATACACTATATGAAACTGGATGGAAGGTTTAGGTTCTGAAACAATGATAGTGAGCAGTACTTAATCTTGTAAAACTAATGAAACAATTGCAAGCTAAAGAAAGACCCTGCCCTCTCGTTAAAGCACAATTTTGACTAGAACAGCAAAACCCATGGAATCGGTTATTTGGTCTCTATGAAAAGAGAGGTAATAAAGAAGTCATAAACAGTCTTATGTTGAAACCTGTGGGCAGAAGTATTATAGTTAGATAAGAACCTAACAAAATGCTTGGTCCAACAGCCAAAACCTTAGCTACATTAGACTGGCTGTATGCTGGAAGTTCACTTTCTAGACCAATGACCCAAACCACAGCCAAGCTACAGATACAAAGCCATGGATCAAAGCATAGTCAGACTGAGGATATTTACAGCACCATTTTACAGAGAATTTGATCTTTTGGAATAACTCATTAGATAAGGAAATTTGTTAGACATGTACAGCTCTAGACCTGTTGTAGCACCTTTACTAAAGATTCAATAATAAATCAATTCTTACCATGATATGCACTTGGATAGAAACCAGACCAATTCTATTTTTTAACCTTTATGGATCCATTTCAACAATTATTTAAAGGTTAAAGGAATGCACTTTTTGTCTGTAGTGCAATAGGATCCCAGTTTTCACCCATTAGACCAGGGGTCTGCAACCTGCAGCTCCAAAGCTGAAAGTGGCTATTTGGCTCTATGGCTCAAACATTAAATCAGTGCTTCACAAACTTTTCTTGGTGGGCCCCCCTTTGAATTAAAATACTTTTTGCGACTCACATCCCAACATTCTTTGACAGTTTAACAATGAAAGACAAACTATATTCCAATTAAATAAACTGCAATACTCCTGCCCCTGATATATCCATTCTAGAAACACCATGTCTACAAATACAAACCACATTTTCCTGACTTTTTATTTGAAAAAACAAAACAAAAACAAAAAAACAAAGCATAATCTTGCTTCAACTTTAAAATGAAGAAATTACACCAGGTTCATTTGTAATGTGAAACATTGTGAAAAGCTCCAAGATGTGGAAATACTTTTGTCTGGCAAGACAAGTGTTTCCAGACAGTGTGACACATCAAAGCTTGTCTTGCTATGAATAAACCTTTTTGGCATTTTAAATAGGGTTATAGAAGTTTTTTTTTTAGAGTTATTCTACCTTAGTGTCTTATATACAAAGTTAATATTAACATTGTTTCTACTTTAACAGCATTTCTTAGGCAAATATACAGAATAAAACAGCTTGTATCAAAGAAGACAGGTAGCGAAAGTATAATGAGATTATTTTTAGCTGTAGAGTGTCAAAACGGGTTATAAATAATCCTGTTTGTTTTCCAACCACTAAAGATTATTCCCTGAATTGAAGTATCTTGGTTCAAATGATTGTAAAGAATAAGCAGTGATAGAGTTTTCATCAGTCATATACAAGAAACTTCCCACTTTAGTACTTTAAAATGTATCAGAAAAGTTATAACGTTCAGTGTGTTATAATCACACTCAGCAGGGTGAATCTTTCCTCATTTCAAGGGAGATCTATCTGGAACAGTTTCACACCTCAGCATTCAGATTTACCTACCCTGACATGTGTGAGTTTACATTTTAGACATTAATGTACTTATTTCTAATATATGTCGAGCTATAAGACTGGAGTTACCACCAAATCTGTGCCTGACTGAAGTAGAAGAAATTCCTGCCACTATCTAGTTAGCATTTATTCCTGATGTGGTCCTTCCAAGGCTGTACTCCTCAAGGAAGGAAAGTTGTGCCTCATGCAGCTGCACGATAATCATGACTCATGTACTCTAAGACACAGCTATAGCCTCAGCCGCTGCAGTGTACGTGTGTGATTCATCCAGTCCTTTTGCCTGCTCTCTACTACTCTCTCCTTACCCCCAAACAGCTGCATGTTTTGCACCCCATTTGTGCTTCTATCAGGTAAAAAAGGTGGTCAGGTTTAGTCTAATTTTCAGTTCTATTAAGGACTGAGGGTCTGTCTCACATAACAGGCTGAATGAAGACAATTTTTTTGGAAGCAAGCATATCTGCATGAGATATGTTTTCCATATGCTTTTTCTAATTTAGGTCATGGTCTGTTTGTGGCTTTAAAGAATTGTCTTTTTTTAATCTTTTAATTAACAATCACTACAGTAGCTTAATGTTGTCTATCTGTTCATAATTGGTGACTCTTCATGAGTCATCAAACAGTAAATCCCCACTTTCTTAACCTATGAATCACACAAGCATAACATGTCTTGAAGGAGCTTTCATATGCTCAGCCCTGCAATAGGTACCACCGCAGCGGATTAAGTTGTCATAGGATCGTTGGTAGCGTTTCCAGCTGTGTCAGAAACAAACACCCACGCCCCCATCATCCAGCCTTATGTGGCCCACGCAAAGAGTGACAAATCTGTCTTCACAAACCCATAGAAGTTTGCGTGGTGCTGCTGCTGCTGCAGCAAAAAACCCCCGACAAAGTCTAAACATTGAAGTGGGTAATCTAACCAAGGGAATCCTGAGAGGCTGGAGGGATGGAGGAGAGAATAAGAGGAGCCTCCAGCATGCAGGGCTTGCCAACTTGCTGTCATCTCTCTGGAGTTGCTACAGTGAGTGTGGACAGAAATCCAGCAATGCTGACTCGCATGTAATTAGCTGCTTCCCCTTAGCTGAATCTTTCTTGCTGCAGTTTGTGTGTGCGTCTGTTCTGGCATCAAATTGAGGACCGTTTTACCAAAGTGAGGACATTTTGATTGTCCTCGCTTCCTTTTTTTGCAAACGTTTAGGTTTGAAGTAGGTTGTGCATTGAGTTTAGGCTCAGGTTGATTTAGTTCCACTATCAATTTAGTTTATCTTTATAGCATCAATTCACACCATGTCATCTCAAAGCACTTTACCAAGATAATTCAATCAGATCATCCAGTCACTTTGGTAAAACTTTTTCTTTGTAAGGAAAACCAGCTGATTGAATCCAACCATTGACTTTGCAGGACTCACTCCTCCTTAAAGAGCATGTAGTGGCAGTAGACATTACTTTGCATTGTGTTGTTAGCTCTACAGCAATCCCTTACGCCAAGCATGCATGCAGCGACAGTGGAGTCCAACTCCAGGAGAACCAAGCTCAGAGTGAGTGGGTTGAAGGAAAAAGTGACAGACACACAAAAGGAACATAGATGTACTACTACATCCATCCATACATTTTCTGGCACTCTTTATCCCAGCTGGGGTTGCGAGGGGTGCTGGTGCCTATCTCCAGCTGTCAATGGGCAAGAGTCGGGGTACAACCTGGACAGATCGCCAATCCATTGCAAGGCAACATAGAGGCAAACAGGACAAACAACCATTCACACTCACACCTAGGAAGAATTTAGAGAAGCCAATTAACCTAACAGTCATGTTTTTGGACTGTGGGAGGAAGCCAGAGTAGCCTGAGAGAATCCATACATACACAGTGAGAACATCCAAACTCCATGCAGAAAGACCTGGGCTGAGAATGGAACCCAGAACTTTCTTGCTGTAAGGCAGCAGTGCTATCCACTGTACCACTGAGCAGCCTGCCGCACTAATACATCAATAATTTTAATGTTCGAAAGGTAACTGTAATCTAGCTTCATAAGGGGGTCTGTCTAGGAAAGAAGCATTTATTCAGTCAAGGTTTTACCCATTTTTCCTCTCAGGGGACGAAAAAGAGCACATATAGTAAGTCACAGTAAAGGCTAAGGAAATAAACAGGACTAAACACTATAAATCAGGCCCAACTTTATCATATATAATGGAAGATGTTGATGACAGCAGCCCGGCAGCCCTTAACCCTCCCTCCAGGATGGTATCACAGCCAAACATAACTAGGTCTGATGGAGCTACTTTGACAAGAAAAAGTTGCAGGATGGGAGAATAGAGACAGAACGAAGCAGAATGATGAAAAGTGGTCTCTATGTCCTCCAGCAGCCTA